CTGCTGCTGCTGCTGCTGCTGGCGCTGCTGCTGCTGCTGCTGCTGCTGCTACTGGTGCTGCCGTTGGGTTCTGCTACTGTTGGTGCTGGTGCTGGTGCTGGTATTGCTGCTGCTGTTGCTGCTGCGGGGTGCTGGTACTCCTGCTGCTGCTGCTGCTGCTGCTGGGTTCTGGTACTGCAGCAGCAGCAGCAGCAGCTGCTGCTGCTGCTGCTGCGGCTTGATTGTTGGCGACAGTCCTCGCCGTAGACTTGAGGAGTGCGTATTGAATGAAGGTTGTTTGTTTTTTTTGCTTTTCTTATCTCAGTGAGGCTTATTCTTTTATTGCTTTAGACAATTCGCTGTGGAGATGGAGGCCCCTCTATTAGCAGCAACTCCTGCTGCTGCAGGGCCTCCCTCTGTAGCAGCAGAGGGAGTACTATCTCCTGCTGCAGTTGTTGCTTCGAACGGCTGCAGCAGCAGCTGCTGCTGCAGCAGCAGCTGCTGCTGCAGCAGCAGCTGCAGCAGCAGCTGCAGCCACCCATCCTGATGATGCATGCATGCACGCATGCATAAATAGGTAGGAGATATGCAAATAAAGGAGTATAGAAAGCATAAAGAGATAAAAATAAACAATGTCTTTTTAATGCCTCACCAACTTTCAACATAAACACACAAACAAACAAACTCTCCTCAACAAACATAAATTAAACTCTGCTTAACCCTCAGCAACTAATTATAATAAATTATAAAATATTTAATTAAACAAAAAGACAATGAAATAATAATAATAAAGATAATAATAATAACAACAACGGAGATAATAGTAATGATAATAATAATGATAAAGTAATGAAAATAAAAAAAACGATAAAATAATAATGCTTGTTAGTATACAGTATTAATAAAAATAATTAACAAGCAATAGGAATAAATATTATTATATCTAAATATTAATATTAATATTAATAATAATATTAATATTAATTTTATTATTATTATTGTCTATTAATAAATTATGCGAGTAGAGGTCTCCCCCGTCTTGAGTCTCCTTGTAATATTCTTTGTTTATTTGTTTATATCTATGTATATATGTATGTTTATATATATTTATATTTATATTTATATTTATATTTATATTTATATTTATATTTATATTTATA